TCTTCTTCTTCTTCTTCTTCTTCTTCTTCTTCTTCTTCTTCTTCTTCTTCTTCACCTACACCTACACCTCCTTCTTTTTCTTCTTCTATGAGCGCCCCAAACCCGCTGTGAGAAGACGGTCAAAGGCGTGAGATCGAGACCGGGAATTCCCGTAAACCTACTTAATGTACTATAGCTGAACACAAAATATTCTTCGGCGCAGTCGGCACTCCGCAGTGAATATACAGTGTCGAAGCAAATGATAGCGATCGCTACAAAAGGATTGAATTTAACTTAAAATGGGCTTTCTTCCTACACATTTGATCTTAATGAAAATACAATAGTGCAACACTACGTTTCAAGTTATAGGTACTGGCAAAGTTTCATATTTTTTCTTTATACTGTTCGCAAAATTTGGCCTTAGCTCCATTAGTAGTAAGATTATTATTATTACTATTATTATTATAGTATGGACTCACCTGATGCCCATATAAGGCAGTCTCTCCTCCATCTTGCCAGACCACGTGGCCCTGACCTTGGAGTAGCGCGCCCCATGGTCGCCGAACAGAAAGAGCACCGTGTGGTTAAGATGGCCGCTCGCGTGGATCTGAGTCAGGAAGTCCCGCAGCTCTTCGTCACCCTGGGGGAGGGAGGGGTGCGAGAGGGGAGGGGGGGATGTCACGGTATATGGAACAGTAGAAAATCTGACAGATCACATAATATCCGTGGGTGATTGGCGGGTGCTCTGGTGTAGTTTGCTTCTTCTTTCCTATCAAACATTTATCGTCAATATATCTCCTCCTTCTTTTGTGTGTTCGTTGCTCTCTTGTAACACCCCCTAGTCTTCAGCTCTTATATGACCTTATTGTGTTGCAAGTGGAATAAAACTCCTACTGAAACTAACAAATAATATCGTCACTGCGCTAGGGAATACACAGTCAGTGGTCAACATACAGGAGAGGAAAGACAAAAGGGTACAGCTAAATACGTGCAAAGTACAAGTACCCAAGGGAACGCACGCGCATAATTGTGTGTGTGTGTATGTGTGGTTGTGTGTGTG